TATTTGTATGACCACTTGTTTGAGAAGCTCAAGTGAGATTATGATCAGGTGCTCAGCACGGGATTTGGAACAAAACAGGAACTCTATAAATGTGACTTGTCTTTCCAACACCTTCGTTTACTCAACAGATATTTATAGAGCAGCTAACTTGTTCCACAGATGTTTTGGTCAGGGTAAGCTACGTTATGCTGCAAAAATGAACACATCCCATATCTCATCCCAAATATCAGTTGCTTAAACACAAGTATCATCTCTCACCTTCTTCATCTGTTGCCTGTTTAGGGCAGCTCTCCAATATGGCAATCCAGTCTACTTCACTCTTTTGACCTCATCATCTTAACACAAGACCTCTACAAGATTTTCCACAGTGGAAAAGGAGTATCCAGAACTGCTATTGGATGTTTTCAGTTGACAGTGATGCATGTCAATCAACTAGCAATCCATTAGTCACAACTAGTTCTTTAGCTGGGTCCCACTATAAGGGGGTGAATATAGAGTCTTCTGTGTGCCCAAATACAAAGAACTAGATTTTGATGAGCAAAAGTCATCTGGGTGACTACTCAACTGGGCACTGGGTGCTTAATGGTTAACAAAACAGGTATGTTTTATCCTTCCTCCATGGAGCTCTCAACACAGAGAGCATGCTCCTGGGAACGCTAATATCTGTGAAGAGCCAGGTTTCTTCCCAAGCCAGGCAAGGAACTAGATCAAAGAGATTGCATTCATATGTATAAAGTTATGTGGGAAAATAGGAAAGGATAACAGTTTAGGATAAGTGACAAGTATGGAGAACTTAGAAATCCTCAATAAATATTTACTGAACGAATGTTAAGTGAGGAATAAGAAGAAATTTAGCTCTTAGAAACGAAATGGGAAAGGCAACAGAGAGAGACAGATATAGGAAGAAAAAACACATGGAAACAGTTTATGCTTTTCAAATGTTCTGAATAATATTTGGGAATAAAAGCTGTTCTTGCTGTATCTGCTGCTTCCAGTAAGCCTGAAATATTTCTGTGCTGGTCTCTTCTGCCATGATGGGGGTGCTGAGCAAAGAATTCCCAGCCAGACTGTTTCATTCTTACCTAGTCAAGAGTTTGGAGATTGTTGGGAAGCTTGGACCCTGACCCATCTGCTTGAATGTTCTGTGATAAGTCAAGTTTGCTAGATTGGCAGTTGTCAAATATGGAGGGGTCAAAGGAACAGAGAGATGATGCTACTGTGAATACTGAAAATGTAATAGAGTTAAGCAAAAAGCCTATGAATACAATCTAATAGTATGATATTAGAGAGGGAAGATTTCTTTAAAACCTCGAAAGTGATTAAAGTAAGAAATGTTTATTAAAGAAAAAAATGGAAAAAAAGAAATATTTATAACAATTCCTAGAGATAAACCCTTTTAACATTTTGGCCTACTTAATCCCAAACTTCTCTAGGCATATTTAACAAAGGCAGATCATATAGTACATGCTACTTTGCCATCTCTCTTAGTTGAAAGTGTTTTTGAATATTTTTCCATGTCAAAAAAGATACTTCTGGCCAGGCACAGTGGTACACACCTGTAATCCCAGTGGCTCAGGAGGCTGAGGCAAGAGGATTTCGAGTTCAAAGCCAGCCTCAGCAAGCAATTTAGCAAGGCCCTAAGCAACTCAACAAGATCCTGTCTCTAAATAAAGTATAAAAAAAGGGTTGGGGATGTGGCTCAGTGGTTAAACACTGAGTTCAATCCTCGGTACCAAATACATACTTCTGCAGCATTTTTTGCAATAATATTTTTAATGACTGCATGGTATTTGTATCATGTATGTATGTGTGTCTCTCTCCTTGGTTCTGTGTGTGTGTGTATACTTACCCCATTAGATTGTGTAGAGATAGTTGCTATTATTAACAATGCTATTATGAACACTCTACCTGAATTTCTATTCATATCTTTGCTTTATAGGCTAACTTTTCTAAATGGTAATTATTGTGGCAATAGTTATGCACACTTTAAGGCTCATAATGTACATTGCCAAATTGTCCTCTAAAAGATAGTTTCAAATTACATTCCTACCAGGAGTGGATAAGAACAGAAGTGTTTAGGAGCCCATAAATCTACAAGTGGGGTTCTAGAGATTTAGGTGTGTTATTAAATGTATATTTAATCTTAACAGCTATTAGCAGAAAAGGGCACTCAATATTATCTTTAAAGCCTGTCTTATTTAATGCTTTCACTAAAATTATATGTATGAGAATCTCACATTAGATTTCTTAGAAAGGGACTTAGGACAGATTCACATATTCTGCTCAATGGACTTCTTAATATCATGGGCACTGGGGTAAGATCTATGGATGTTCCACTAGATATCTAGAATGAGTAGCCTGCTGGACAAAATACATTGAGTTCTGTCACTGAGTATCATCCATGCTGTGGCTAATGTTTGTGCACATCTTTAATGATTGAATATTAAGCAATTTCCCACTTCTAAAAAAAAAAGCCAAGAAATTTTCAACTAAATTGACTATGTTAAACTTGAAAAGATACAAATAAAATAATGAAGTGTGTGCTTATAATATGCCATCTACTAATTTGATATAAATAAACTTTGAAACACATATTATGGTTTTTAGAACTATTGCCCTTGTATTTCAGGAAGTAGTTTTGGTCCGACTCCCCTCCCATGCATTCTTGACATCAGAGTGGTGGTGCTACCTTTTCAGACAACTGGCTTGTTTCCACCACCTGTCATTTGGAATTCAGTCTAAGTGGTTTGGGTACAGGACCTTGTGAAACCGTCTGATGCCATCACTAGAAATCTTTTCCCAGCTATAAAAACTTGTTTACTGCTCATGATCTCTAGTAACCACTTACTCTGTTGCTTTTTTTAGTGATCTTTAAAATACTTGTTTTCCACATGATCCAGAGCTTAGAATTGTTAGGTCATATCTCCCAAAATAATTACTATCTATCTCAATATTAAATTTCTTTACTTCCACTTACCAGTCCTATCAATTGCAAGACAGTTAAAACCATTCTAAACTCATGAGTTGATGATGTTTCAATCTAATGCATATTCCCCAAACAGTACTCTGTTCAAACAAAGTAATGGAGAGTGTGTGATATTATGAGAGACTTTATAAGGACTTTAGAATAAAATGCCTCTTTTTCTGAGGGATAATTTGGAGGAAGAAAAGGCTCTCACCTTATATTCAGCCATATATTATGGTTTAAACAAAAGGGGATTCACACAAATCTCTTTTGTGTTCTTATGCAAAGTGACTATTGAATATGAAAGCTTTGGGCCATTTGTAAGAAATAATAAAGAATACAGATGGATTGTAATGCATTTATCTTGTAAAGAAACATTGAAAATGGAGGACCATAAAGCCTGCTTCTTTGAAAATACTTACATTGGAATCTTAAGAACTACAGCCTCCACCGGTTAAACCTCCTCCCAACCCCAGACTGCATCTACTTTTTTTGTTAATACACACACACAAAGACACACCACAGTAGGAAATATTTATAATATTTTGATGGTCTCTTGGGGATCCCTAGCCAAAATTTTTAGAACGCAAAATGAAAAATTTAGATAACTGAGTGGCTAGATTTCCCTACAGTGTTACTCCGTCTTTCAGATACATTATGCTATATTGTTTCCGTTCTTTCATCTAAGTATTTCCAAGAGAATCAGACTAGAAGAACATTTTACAGAGAAGGTGGCAGCTATTTGATTGATATAGTCGAAGATAGCATATGGTGTATTCTTTCCTCTCAAACTGTTCTGAGTCTTTGTTCTTGCCCATAGCAGTAGTATATATGAGAACTATCCAAAAACTTCCCAATGGTACATGTATGTAATGCACATCATCTTAAAAAGCAATGAACATTTTGCCATTGCATTCTTTATTATTTGAAGTAAATCAAACTGAGAGACATAGAGCTTAAAATAAATCGTTAAAGAACTCGAATTCTATAAGATCTTAAAATTTTGTAAGATTATAAATGCCATTTTAAAATGTTAATTAGAAGTGCATTTGTTTTAATTCATGATACTGAAAATATTGACTGAATTGTGAATTAACACATTTAGGGGTACAGATGTCATTTTTCGTGAGATTTCCTGAATGATGTAATTTTCATATTTCATATAGCAGTTTGATCAATTTACAGATTTATTTTACATAATTAGTTGGTAAATGAGAAATTCAATTGCTGATATATAACTATTTTTCTGTAATATAAAAAGAAGTTAAAATTCTGAATTATAAATAAAAAACAAATATTTTGAAGACATCTGGTCTACATCTGTCCAAAATAAGATAATTTAAAACAGTGTAATTAAATGCAAGAAATACAGAAATATTCACACCTTAGAATGTTAAAAAAAAAAACCTCCATTTTAATGTGATTTTTTTTCCAACTGGAGTTTTTTTATTATTATTATTTCAGTGTACTTTCACTTCTCATTCTGTCTTTAGAAAGAAAACTAAAAAACTAAAAATAATCTGTGTTTTTCAAAGTTTCTATTAAATGGAGGTATTATTTTTATTAGTACTCTTTTATATGTTGATTAGCTTTAATTCCTAATGTAATATTCAGCAGACAGTCTCAGACCTGTCCCCTTTTGCTGTATTTATGACTCTTCATTCAGTTATTTAAATTGTGAGATGACTAAAGGAGTATGTAAGCTCACCCTAAATTGTGTGTTCCTTGTGGGCACAAAGGGGCTCAGGAAGTGTGGGAGGAAGGTATTCAGACCTGTGGAAATGAAAAGCACTTCTGATACATCCTCATGATCCAGAAAGAATCATCCTTTGAAGATTGGTCTTTCCTTTAAAAAAGAAAATCTGTGTTAAATGGAAAATATATCATTTTGGGAGAAAGAAAAATACTATGTACTTTCTGTTGTCTAACCTTAGCCATAGGTTCTGAAAATAATTGGCCCTGTGAGAAGGGCAACCACTTTTCCTAATACATACCATAAGGTAACAAAAGTTATGTTTTGTGTGTTTATTTGCAGGGAGCATGACAAAAATCCAGAGAGTTTTTTTAAGGTATTAATGCATCTAAAGGACTTAGGACTCAATTTCCATATCTCCGTCCTTGGAGAAACCTTTACGGACGTCCCAGGTATCTCTTTTGATTTTTTCTAATGTATTTTTATAGATATCCAAGCTCTACAACTAAGTATTAATTTTCATGTTTTCTTTTGTTAGAATAATCAAGATGAGCACTGTTAACCAAAAGATTATACGATGGCATTAAAGTCTGATTCAATTAAAAAAATACTTAAGTAAGCATTCTTTGATTTAAGTTGAGAACGTGAAGTCATCTCTTTTATCAAATATAGTTTATACAATGCATCTTGATGTAAATAAAATATATTGCTTTAGGCATCTTAACACTTAAGGAAAGCAAGAATTTGTAATTGGATGTGCAGCCTCTCACCCCTGAGGTCACTGGTTTGAATCCCGCTCACATTGGTAATGACTGGAATACATTACCATCTGTTAGGTGGCCTGCGTAAAGCATTTTGGTATCTAACTCATAATGTGGAAAAGACTACAGTCCATATCATGGTTGTTGTTGGTTCATGCCTTTTTTTTTAATTGAACTTGAGAAAGACAAAAGTTGGAAGCAGTTATCAGCAGTTCCTCTCATTCTTAAAGCTACATGGAGCCCTTTCAGATCCATTTCCTTGGCTCTGTGTTCTCATCGGTCATGGATGGGTCAGTAAAGTGGGCATTCTGACACCTCTTCACAAGCACCTGTGTTTGTGTTCTTAAACGTTTGTGTGCTGAGCATTGTTTGAAAGGCTAATATACAAACAACAAAAGTTCACAAATGACCTTATTCAAAAGTGACCCTTGCTATGATGTATTATAACACTTAAACACCATCTAAAGCTTACTCTCACATAGCAGATACTCTGGTTTAATGCTAGAAGCAACCCTAGCCAGGACTCACCAGCCTGATCTCACCTAGCTTACTTCTGCCTTTCAGGTTACAGACACTGACTTCACTTCCTCTAAGGTACCAGCTTCTTTAGACCCCACTTGCCTGTTTACTTCTATTTTATCTTTTTGATTTTAACTCCAAGGCATTTTCTTTCAAAGTGAAGTTTTGTCATGTTCTCTTATCATACTCTATTTTTCCTTCAGGACACTTATCTCAGTTTCAAATTATTTAATGTGTGTCCATTTTTTTTTTAATCTCTCTCCCCTACACACACATATACACGTGCACACTAGAAGGCAGGTTCTGTGAGGACCAGAGACTGTGCATCACCTTACCCCAAAGTCAAGTGCTGGAGGTCAGTGAATAGTTATTAGATTACAAAACAAAGTTAAAATAAGTTAAGCTCCGGCCCTCAAGGAATTTATGATTTTGTTGAACAGGGAACATTCATGCACAAGCACAGAAAACAGAGAGTGAAAAACAAGATAATATAATTACATATGAGTACTGACACATGGAGCTTAGGGTGTTAATTGCCAAACTAGTACGTGAAGAGCCAACACTATTCCAATAGCCAGAAAAGAAGGATTGATTAAGTTCTTCCAAAAGGGGAAACAACATGGGCAGAGCACATGGCAACAAACATTTTAGATATTGTGTTTAAGAGGAAGATTTCAGTGATTAACGCTGTGAAATCATTTCTCTAAGTAGAGCATGTGATGGCATGCTTAAGTCAGTAGCTACCTGTGAACAGTTAGGGTAGAGTCAAGGTAGCGGGTCTTTTTTAATTATTATTATTATCTACACATGACATTACAATGATCTTGGCAAGTCATACATTTGAATAATTGGGGTATAATTTTACATTTTTCTAATTGTACAGATTGCAGAATCACACTGGTCATAGAGTCACCTATATACATACATCAATCATAATGTCTATTCTATTCTGCTGCCCTTCCTATCCCCCTACTCCTCCCCTCCTCTCCCATCATTTCTCTCTATCCAATCTAATGTGACACACTTTTTTTTCTTTTTCTCATCACAACATCATACATGTATTCTGTATAACGATGAGGTTCTCCTTCCATTTTCCGTGCAACTCCCCTTCTCCCTCTTTTTACCTCCCACCTCCCTTCCCTATTTAGTGGTAGTCTTCTTCTCATGCTCTTCCTCCCTATCCCATTTTGAGTCACCCCCCCTCCCTTATATCAGAGAAGACATGTGGCATTTGTTTTTTAGGGATTGGCTAACTTCACTTAGCATAATCTGCTCTAATGCCATCCATTTCCCTGCAAATGTCATGATCTTGTTATTTTTTAGTGCTAAGTAATATTCCATTGTGTATAAATGCCACATTTTTTAATCCATTCATCTATTGAAGGGCATCTAGGTTGGTTCCACATTCTAGCTATTGTGAATTGTGCTATTATAAACATTGACGTGGCTGTGTCCCTGTAGTATGCTCTTTTTAGGTCTTTTGGGTATAGTCCGAGAAGGGGAATAGCTGGATCAAATGGTGGTTCCATTCCCAGCTTTCCAAGGAATCTCCATACTGCTTTCCAAATTGGCTGCACCAATTTGCAGTCCCACCAGCAATGTACAAGTGTACCCTTTTCCCCCGCATCCTTGCCAGCACTTATTGTTGTTTGACTTCATAATGGCTGCCATTCTTATTGGAGTGAGATGGTATCTTAGAGTAGTTTTAATTTGCATTTCTCTGATTGCTAGAGATGGTGAGCATTTTTTCATGTATTTGTTGAGTAGTTCTATATCCTCTTCTGAGAAGTTTCTGTTCAAGTCCTTGGCCCATTTGTTGATTGGGTTATTTGTTTTTTTTTTGTTGTTGTTGGTGTTGTTTAACTTTTTGAGTTCTATGTATACTCTAGAGATTAGAGCTCTATCTGATGTTTGAGGGGTAAAAATTTGTTCCCAGGATGTAGGCTCCCTATTCACCTCACATATTATCTCTCTTGCTGATAAAAAAAAAACTTTTTAGTTTGAATTCATCCCATTTGTTGGTTCTTGGTTTTAACTCTTGTGCTGTAGGTGTCTGCTGTAGGTGGCCTGCCCCCACGTGATGAAGATTAGGGCCAACTTTATCTTCTATTAGACGCACAGTCTGTGGTCTGATTCCTAGCTCTTTGATCCATTTTGAGTTGACTTTTGTGCATGGTGAGAGAAAGGGATTCAATTTCATTTTGTTGCATATAGATTTCCAGTTCTCCCAGCACCATTTGTTGAAGATGCTATCCTTTCTCCATTGCATGCTTTTAGCCCCTTTGTCTAATATAAGGTAGTTGTAATTTTGTGGATTGGTCTCTGTGTCCTCTATTCTGTACCATTGGTCTACCAGCCTGTTTTGGTGCCAGTATCATGCTATTTTTGTTACTATTGCTCTATATTATAGTTTAAAATCTGGAATCGCGATACCACCAATTTTACTCTTCTTACTTAGAATTACTTTAACTATTCTGGGTCTCTTATTTTTCCAGATGAATTTCATGATTGTTTTTCTATTTCTGCAAGGAATGTCATTGGGATTTTGATGGGAATTGCATTGAATCTGTAAAGTGCTTTTGGTAATATGGCCATCTTAATAATATTAATTCTACCAATCCATGAGCAAGGTAAATCCTTCCATCTTCTATGGTCTTCTTCTGTTTCTTTCTTCAGGGTTCTGTAGTTTTCATTGTATAGATCTTTCACCTCTTTTGTTAGATTGATTCCCAGGTATTTTTTTTTTTGAGGATATTGTGAATAGAGTAGTTGTCCTCATTTCCATTTCAGAGAATTTGTCACTGATATACAGGAATGCCTTTGATTTATTGGTATTGATTTTATATCCTGCCACTTTGCTGAATTCATTTACTAGTTCTAGAAGCTTCTTGGTTGAACTTTTTGGGTCTGCTAGGTATAGGATCATGTCATCGGCAAATAGTGCTAATTTAAGTTCTTCTTTTCCTATATTTACGCCTTTAATTTCTTTCATCTGTCTAATTGCTCTGGCTAGTGTTTCAAGAACTATGTTGAATAGAAGTGGTGAGAGAGGGCATCCCTGTCTTGTTCCAGATTTTAAAGGGAATGCCTTCAATTTTTCTCCATTTAGAACGATGCTGGCCTGAGGCTTAGCATATATAGCTTTTACCATGTTGAGGTAATTTCCTGTTATCCCTAATTTTTCTAGTGTTTTGAACATAAAGAGATGCTGTATTTTGTTAAATGCTTTTTCAGCATCAATCGAGATGATCATATGGTTCTTATCTTTAAGTCTATTGATGTGGTGAATTACATTTATTGATTTCCGTATATTGAACCAGCCTTGCATCCCGGGGATGAATCCCACTTGGTCATGGTGCACGAAGATAGTGGGTCTTGATCACTAAAACAGGTTAAGTAAAGGTGAGGAACAGAGAGCCTGCATGGGAACAGAGAAGAAATAAGAAGCAGCCTATAGTTTATGAAGTTCTACCTTCAACTGATACTTACGCAGAATCACAAAGCCTCTGTGATGGAAATCTCAGAGTGACTCTATGAGGTGGTGGCAGAGATTAGAGAGAGAGCTGTAAGAGAGAGTTATTCTCAAGACAAAATACATGTATGAAGATTTGAATTTGGGGCCAACATACTTTATATACAAACAGAGATATGAAAAATTATGGTAGTTATGTGTATTAAGAATTATAATGCAAAAAACAAGATTACATATATAATGGCATAAGTTGGTGTGAACATACTATATGTACACAGATACAAAACAAATGTGCTCTATATGTGTAATAAGAATTGTAATGCAAAAAAATAAATGAAATAAATAATAATTAAAAAAAGAAAACAGGGAAGAATTTGGTACATGGATGGCTACAGAGAAATAAAGAAAAATCAGCTTCTTTGCAAAGTCAGTGAGCTCAGTTTGTTGGAACCCAATTTGGGGTGTCTGTGAAGGGCTGAGGAGAGGCTGGAGGACAGACCTGACAGATACTTCTGAGTCTGTTGAAACCTCAGTAAACTTTAGTCTACAGAGAAGACTAGGTTTTCCCTCCAAGAACCATGTTATCACAGTCTCCGCTCTCACCTACCACACATTGGCATTGAGCTATTTAGAGCTAGATGGAAGTTAAAGTTGGGTGCAGAGCAGTAGGGGTGCAAGTACCTCTCAGTAGTGACAAGTC